TTATAAAAGCGTTGTATATTAAAAAGTTTTTTTTATATTATTTATTTACTTAATATTTCTGGTTTCACTAACAGTAGTGAGAACCCTCATTAAGTCTTTGTTCTATTTTCAAATAGTGTGACGCTTAAACAGCTGTTATAAGTGGTAATATTAGTTTTCCCCAAAATTGTAGATACCCGGTTAAGGCAGAAACGGGACGATATGTATGTAACTTACCTAAATCATTTTAACTTTTTTATTTCTCAAGCACCATTCGTTTGACACCAATCTTGTAAGATTAGATTTACTTATTTAATTGTTTTAGTGTAGATAAATGGCGTCTACATGATTTTTTCCCTAACACCTTCAACTAGTATATCTCCACATTTCGGCAAATTTATACTAAACCATATTAAAATTCTATTGGCAGTTTTTGAGTTTAACGCGTTCAGACAGACAACAGACGCCTTAGGGCACTTCATTTTATAATCGGCCCTATTATGGTTGTCGATGTCGATGTAATTTTTTCAATTTTATTTTTTTTATATGAACATATAATCAATTGCACCAAACATGCCTATATTTTAGTTTTTTTTTTTAAATAAATTCTAGTGCTTACATACAGTTGTCCACAAAATAATAGGAGTTCAATATTTTGAACAGTTTTGGCTATTTGTCTTTTGTTTCTTTAAATTTTTTATATGTAAAAGTCTAGTTGGTTTTACAGCAAACATTATATAAATTTACATTTTAAACTTTGTACACAAATTATAAAAATTCTGCAAATTTTCACCCAATTTTCAAATTTTTTAATCAGAATCTTTGAAAATATTTTGCAGTTTTGTAGCCGATTTAATTCTGGTAGTAAGTTTTAAGTTGGTAAAAAATCCCGTTGATTTCTCATATTTTTACTTTAACTGTCAACCTTTGGACTTGTACGGTTGTCGAACTCACCGATTCAATTGCTTCTTTATCTATATATATAAATGGGAATGTCTGTTTATTTATTACCTTATAACTTTTGAACAGCGACATGGAATCGCACGAAACTTTGCACACTTATTTGTTTTTATCCCGGGAAGGTTATAGGCATAGAGAAAAATCGGCAGTACTGGAAAAGGAGCGTGGCACTTCCCATACTAACTAAAATTTTCATGTTGTATATCTCTTAAAATATTTGTGGTAGAGTACTGGAACTTGGTGTCGAGATAAATGAAATTAATTCCATACTCATGGGAGAAAATGGGCGG